CATTCTGTTATTTCCTTGACAGTGGCATTCCTGTTTGAGGTGCAGTGCAGTTTAAGGGCCCGGAGATCACGAGCATCCAGTAGAGTTTTACGGCCTTGACCCTTACGCACAGCGATTGTTCCAGATTATCTGAATCTTTTGACGATGTTATGCACGGTTGATGATGATAACTTAAAAGTCTTTGCTATTTTACGCTGGGTAACACCATTTTGGTATTGCAGCAATATCTTTCTGCGCAACACTGGTGGAATTGGTGATTCTCTTACCATCTTGGCTTCTGAGAGACACTGACACTCTGGGAAGCTCTTTTTATACCCAGTCATGTTGTCAATTGACCTAATTAGTGTTAATTTGTCTTACAGCTGTTTGTTATATGCTCAATTTCCTTTTTCCAGCCACTTATTTCTTCTTGTCCCAACTTTTTGGGATTTGTTGACACTGTGAAATTATGAATCAACATATTTTTGCTTTAAAATGTTACATTTACTCAGATTAAACTTTTGATCTGTCATCTATGTTATATTACGAATAAAATATTGACATTTGCCATCTCCATATCATTGCATTCAGTTTTTATTCACAATTTGTTTAGTGCTCCAACTTTTTTGGAATCCTGTTTGTATATTCAGACTCATATTCTACCGCAGGTAATATAAAACAGAAAAAGAAATCTGTATTTTAGTGAATCGTGAAAGTTGCTTTGCCCACAAGCTTTGACAATATTCATCCATCCATTACTTTTACCCGCTTCTTCCATTTTGGGTCACGGGGGTTGCCGGTGTCCATGTCCAGAAATCACTGTGCGGGGGTGGGGGGGGGGGGGGGGACCCTGGGGAGGGGGCAAGGCCACCACCCGAGCCAAAAGAGACAAACACCCATTCACTCTCTCACTCACACTTAGGGCCAATTTAGAGTTACCAATCAGTCTAACATGCATGTTTTTGGTCCGTGGGAGGAAACCGGAGTACCCAAAGAAAACCCACGCATGCACGGAGAGAACATGCAAACTCCACCCAAAAAGGCCCCGGACCGAGATTTAAACCGGGGACCTGCTCGCTGAGAGGCAGCAGCTCTACCAGTTGCGCCACCGTGCTGCCCTTTGACAATATTCAGTGCTTTATATTTTTATTACAAATATTGTTGTTGCAAACTTTCTTGAGATATTCTCAAAATATCTTTGCATGCTTCTGAGCTTATTTATCTGTTTGCTGTTAAATATCCTCAGACCCTAAAAATCAAAACCTTCTATTTTGATTAAATAAATGAACGACTGTTTTATGTTGTGAAATTTAAATTTATACATTTCTATCTGATAATATTTATTGGAATTTACTCAGAAAATTCCTACTCTTACTCCTTATATAGGCTTGTGTGCAAAATTCATGAAAAAATGCCAAACCGTGACCTGGACATCATTCTGGAAGTGCACGAGGGACAAGAGGAGGGCCGCTACTCGATTGAAGGCACAGCTCAGACAGTTGGCTTCTCTTTTGTGGTGAGAATGGCAACTATTGTACTGTTTTTCCTTGGAAATACTTATTTATGACAATTACTTTTTTAAAGTAAGACGTTTGATCTGCCTTTTCCAGGAACCTAGCATAACAGACATCAAGCCTGACTTTGGGCCCATGTTTGGAGGAACAACAGTCACACTAACAGGACAATATCTTAACTCTGGGGTACAAAGAGATGTCTTTTTTGGAGGCATAAAGTGCACAGATCCAAAGTGAGCCATGGCTTTATCTTAACAATAGATAGAACACAGTATTTGTCTCAAAGATTTTAGATGTGTACTGTCATTGCCATATTTTTCAGACTATTAAGGCACAATATCAATGAACTGGTCTGTTTTCATACATAAGGCGCTTTAAGCGAAACTAAAACATTTCTGACAGATTTTTGAGCGTGTGTACCACATAAAACCGGTTCGAGGTCAAGCACAACCAGAATTAATGCATAAGGCTCACTGTTGATTTTTGAGAAATTTAAAGGATTTTAAGTGCGCCTTATAGTCCGAAAAATACGGTAAACTAAGTGTTGTGTAGAGTTGTTATAATGTTTCCATGATTTTTTTGTTGCTACCAGCATTCTTGAAGAAACAGGAGATTTGTCTTCAATCATCTGTAACATAGCAGCTGCAGAAAGTGTCGGTGAAGTACCTGTGGAAGTCTTTATAGACGGCCTGAAAGTTTCTACCAATAAGAAATTTTTCTACAAGAAGAATCCTGTCATAAACTCTGTTGATCCTTTCTGTAGCTTCCGAAGGTGGGATACTGATTTAATACTTTCAATGCATTGTTAGTCTTAAATATAATTGAGTTTATTTGAATTGAAGTGTTTGCTAATAAAATCATCACTGTGTTATTGGTATTTTTTTTTAACACTGACACTTATCTCACAGAGGCTCCAAGCTAATGATAGTGGGTCAGAATCTTGACTCGTCTTACAGTTCTGTGGTTCAGTACACCCCCAAAAATGCTCCAACAAAGTATCAGCTAGTAAGTCAACTCCTTTAATTGTTTAAATGATTTAGTTTCAATGGTGTTTGCAATCTCCTTAAAATGATTTGTATGCCATTTTAAACTGGATGTTTTGTGTTTATCTTTCCTGAGGTCTGCAATGGCTCAAGAAATGCCACGCACATGGAGTGCTGGGCCCCAGCCATTCCAGTGGATGTGCCAGAGGAAGACACTGGAGCGATTTCTCTTCTGTTAGATGGAAAAACGTACCTCTTGAATGAACGTTTTGTCTACCATCCAGATGCCAAAATCATCCCCTTTGAAAATGATGACAACATTTTACATCTGAAACCAGAAGATACTAAGGTTTCACTACATGTAAGACAATTTGAACCAATAATAATACTGTATGAGAATATTGTCATGTATTTTATTTTTTTTCCATAATAGTGTACTTCACAAAGTACCAGCTGTCACTTATGCTTTAAGCTTTGTTTAACAGCATAACAAACTTCAGTCTGTGAGTGAATGCATGAAAATAACAATGAGCATTGGTGGAGAGTTCTGCAACGTTCAGGTTCTGTCAAATGAACTGACCTGCCAGATTCCTAAAGGCCTGGTTATCCCCAGTGAGGGACTACCCGTCAAAGTAAGAAAATATACTCTGAAATCATAATTTTGACACTAAATACAAGAATAAATCTTTTTTTCTTTTTCCCCACCCTTGCCACCGTAGGTGACTGTGAATGGAGAAGATTATGATGTAGGCACAGTCGTCTACAACAAAACCAGCCACTCCACTGTGATTGCGGGCATTGTCCTGGGCATCCTTGCTGCACTGGTAGTAGGTGCTGGCCTTGCATTAATTGTGATGAAACATTTGAGGGATAAAAAAAGAAGTGAGAAAGATTTATGTTTGCTTTCAAAATTTGCTTCCTTTTTCTTTCCTGAGTGATTTTTCATAATCAAACGTTTCCTTTCAGCTAACATAGAGAACCGTTTATCAGCAACATTGTCTCGGAGCCACTTGTCCAGCTATCAGACAGAACTCAGCAGACAAGGTGAAGCACACAAATTCATAAAATCTAAAATACATTAATAATTAATTATTGCAGTATTGTACATTTGCATGATTCAGTTCATGTAATGCTGTGTGAAGTGTAGACACAACTCATTTAAACCCTATATTTATGCCACAATGCAAAAATGTCATTCCATACGTTAAAATTATTCAGTTTAAATGTTTTTGAATGAAAAATGTATATATCTGTTTAAATTATTCTAGTAATCTATTTAAATGTGGGACAGAATAACAACAAACACAAGCAGAAGGTAGTGAAATTCTCAAAAGACATAAAGACAAAGCAACGCAGGTTATCTGCACGAAACAAAAGAATATATCGGCAAAATAGAAAAACACAGATCAATTTAAACAATTTTTCTCAAAGTAACACAATTTGAGAATTCCATCATTTATTTATTTGCAGTACCAAGAACTGCATTACATTTTACCTCTATGCTGTTCATCTAAGTATGTTTTTTCCTTTTTTTGCATCAGTACGTTTGTCCAACCAAACATCAGGCTCAGGAGGAGTTGCCTTCCAAGGTTTATTATATTCTGCCAGCTATGATCAACTAGCTGTTCCTTTAATGCCAGGCGAAAACATCTCGATGATAAGTTTAAGTTCTGACCTGCTGGAAGAGGTTAAAGATGTTCTGATTCCTGCTGAGATGCTCAGAATCGAGGAGAAGCAGATCATTGGCAAAGGTGTCTCTAGATTTTTTTTCTTGCATTTTTGTCTTTTTTGTCTCAACATTTGTAAACTTTTTTTTTACTCTTTGCTGTTTCATCCAACCATCTTTTATTCCCATACAGGTCATTTTGGCACAGTTTATCATGGATACCTAATAGATAGCAATAAGCAGGAGACTCACTGTGCTGTCAAGTCATTAAACAGTAAGTGCTTTTAAAGTAAATCATTATTAGAGCTACAGTATATTAATGTGTGCACTGAGGTTATGAAGAGTTTTGAAGGTGTGGCAACAAGAAATAAATATCATAAACATCTGCTGTATTCATTCCAAAAATAATTGTGGACATTTTCTGACCAGCCCTCAATTAAAATTTCAGATACCACGTGCAAATGTAGCAGAAAAACCTCTAGAGCATTTCTCTCTTTTTTAAACTTCTGCAAAAATCTGGGGGCTAGTAGAAGCTGCTGCTTAATACTCTTATCTGCTGACCTGTAAGCTGCTTTCTCCTCTTGTTTTTGTGTACAAATATATAGTATTAAAAAGAGTTTATTTAGCGTCACATCTGCTCAGAAGGTGTTTCTCACTATGACACCTCATTTTCAGTAGCCCAGATAAAATTCTCCACACTTTCTTCTAAAAATGTCAGAAAATGGCTTCTTTGAGCTCTTGCAGATGTGCTTTGTATTAAAAATAAACTGTGCTTTTTGAACAGGAATCACCGATTTAGGTGAAGTGGACCAGTTCCTCAGAGAGGGCATCATCATGAAAGAATTCCACCACCCCAACATACTGTCACTGCTTGGCATTATGCTACCCAAAGAAGGACTCCCTCTGGTGGTTCTGCCCTACATGAAGCATGGAGACGTGCGGCATTTCATTCGCTCAGAGCAAAGGGTAAGTCAACCAATGAAACCTTCTGAAACCAAGAGTGTATAACCAGGATTATTTGCTCTAGATGGTTTAGATTTTCAGAGTGATCTAGGAAGCTGTTGTCTTTGATTACCAGTTGTCTGTCCTTCACAGAACCCAACAGTGAAGGACCTTATTGGGTTTGGGCTTCAGGTTGCCGAGGGAATGGAGTACTTAGCTCAGAAGAAGTTTGTTCACAGAGATCTGGCTGCACGGAACTGCATGTGAGTGTGAATCAAACACTGATTACGGCCTTCTGACATGTCAATGAATGGCTTTTTTGATTATGCTGTGGTTAAAAGCACCTAAATGCAGACACGTAGGGGACTGTTGGAAGGTACAGTACTGTACATGTGTGCCATGAAAGGCAAGGTATAATAATACAAGATCAACTAAAGTGCAACTGACTGAATATGCAAAAGAGACAATTGAAACAAAACAACACGGGGCAAAAGAGCAGCAAGAATCTGCCAAAGCAGTTTCCTGACTGTATACCATATACATATGAGGTAATACACACGCAGGGCAGGTATGCTGATTGACACCTTGGAACCAAATGAAAGATATAAATAAGAAGCAAGGAGAAAAAAATTAAGAAAACAAAACAAGAAACAAGGTTTAAAAACAACAACATAATTAAACAATTAGAACCATAAAAAGTTTATATTGTAAACCAAGCGTTGTGTTGGGATTTGAAGCCATCAGGACCTAATTTATGGGAACTACTATGTTGTGATTTTGGATCCAGAGTTTGTGATCTTGGAATTTTTGGCTTTATGCTCACTTATGGTCACATGACCATTTTTAAGCTTTTAAACGAACATCCATCCATCCATCCATCCATCCATCCATCCATCCATTCATCCATCCATCCATCCATCCATCCATCCATCCATCCATCCATCCATCCATCCATCCATCCATCCATCCATCCATCCATCCATCCATCCATCCATTATCTTTACCTGCTTTTTCCTTTTTGGGTCATGGAGGTCACTGGTGCCCATATCAAGGTTCAAGGTTCTTCATTGTCATTCACATCACCTGTAGTACATGAGGTGGAATGAAATTGTGTCCACAGGGTCCCAGTTACATCCAACAATAGCAAACATATAAAGTTTCAAAAGAAACAGTAAATAAGTATCTAAGATATGCATTAAGATATATGCTAAACGAACGCCAAACGGTACGCTAAAAGATCTAAGATATACGCTACTAGTGCAAAACACTAATAGTGTTAATCACTAATAGTGCAAAGCAATACACCGAACAACAGCAGCACGAACATGAGTCTTGTGGGTAGATGAGTATGAATGAATGAATACAGCAGCATGAAAAAATCAGCAGCATGAGATCAGCAGCATGAGATCAGTAGCATGGATAATCAGCAGCACATATCACCAATCAAAGCTGCATTACAGTGATTTTTTTTTCACAGTGATAATCCTGATTAGAGATTCATGAATCTAACAGCTTCAAGGTAGAAGCTGTTCCTCAGTGGTTCTACACTTAATGCTCCTTAACCTCCTTCCTGAGGGGAGTGGGGCAAAAAGTGTGTATGCTGGGTGAGTGGGGTCCTTCATGATGCAGGTGGCCCTCTTCCTGCATCTAATGGTGTAGATGTCTGTGATGGTGGGGAGGCTAACCCAACAGACTTCTGTGCAGCTTTCACCACTCTCTGCAGAGCTTTTCTATTCAGCCATCACTGTGGGAGAAGCAAAGTTAAACTAATTACAGCTAAGCATAATAGCAAAAGGATTTTTGGACCATACAATAGCACAGTAAAAACTACATGAATCAACAAGTGAACACCTAAAAAGGGCTATGTTTTGTTTGTTTACATGGAGGGGGCAGGCCTTAATACATTTACACAAACCAGCCTATAGGGAAGCTTGTCCTGTTCCGACTTCCACTTTTGAGTTCTGTCTGGAGGTCCAAATATGACTAAAACTCAGAGGAATACAAAACATAAACACATGAATCAGGATAACGTAACAAAACCAAAGATAGAAATCTTGACACGTTACAAGAAAAGGCAATGCTCCAATTCATATCATACAAATGCTTATGTTGTCAAGTCAATAAACTTTACAATAATATTACACATCACAAGTTTTTCTAAATTTGTGATGTAGCGATGTAATGAAAACAAAAAAATCTAGACTTTGTGCTATATATAAAATAAAAAAGCACTTTAGGAAAAGTGATTTTTAGATTTTTGTTGTCTAATTAGTGTTAATTTATTTAAGTTTCAGAACCTTTGAGTTTACAGCAAAACAACTGGCTATGAGAGAACATCATTGCTTTCTTATTCCAGGCTGGATGAAACCTTCACAGTGAAGGTAGCTGACTTTGGCATGGCAAGGGACGTCTACGACAAGGAGTACTACAGCATTCAAAATCACCAAAGGGTTAAACTACCAGTGAAGTGGATGGCCATAGAAAGCCTGCAGACACAGAAGTTCACAACCAAATCTGACGTTGTGAGTGCAGTTTTTACAGAAACAGAATCATTTTCATATTCACTTGTATCTGTTGTACATCACACATGTGTCTGTTGTTCAGTGGTCATATGGTGTATTGTTGTGGGAGCTGATGACCAGAGGAGCCAGCCCTTATCCAAACGTGGACCCCTATGACATCACATATTATTTGCTGAAGGGGCGTCGGCTTCCACAGCCACAGTACTGCCCAGACACTCTGTAAGTACGCCAGCTTTCAGATTCTGTCTTGTTTATTAACCTGCTTGCAAAATTACTTTTTCACGTTCCTATTTAAGGAGTTCTTAATATTATTTTAACAGTTATTCGATTATGTTGGCATGTTGGAACCCGGAGCCTGAGTTCAGACCCAGCTTCCACAGCCTGGTCACAGAAGTAGACCATATCCTGTCCTTTCTGGGAGGAGAGCATTACATCAATCTGAAGGTTACCTACATCAATTTGGATCAGCCGAGCCTGTACCCCTCCCTGACAGGCTCTGCAAATGAGGCAGAAGCTTCAGACTTGGACTCAGACAGCCATTCAGCAAGCTGAGGTTGAAACATTGCAAGATTCCCTATTAAGGATCAGAGATTTGAGATTAGAGCCAGAAGAAAATACCTTTCTAATTTGATAAGTTGTGAACAATGTCTTCAAACTTTAGCACACGGAATGCTTGACTACTGAATAATCAACTCTGCAGACACTGTAAGCTCTGACTGGAGATAAAAGTGGTACTGAAAATTTATTGATCCAGATTGCTTATTTGTATTTGTTGCAAAACTGACTGAGTCAATGAGAGATGTTTTTTTTTCTTTCTGAAGCACCCGTATAATTGAGACAAAATGAATGTATGAGAGTTTGTTCTCAGAATTCTTAAGTGGTCTATTATGGTCCAAGATGATGCAACTTACCTGTTAAACTCACTGCTGACTGATGCTCTGATAAGTTTTATCGTACATGGCTTTGTTTTACATGGGTATATCATTAATTATGTTCAAAACATTAATTTTAATAACTATTAATAACTAAAGCTGCACCTTTTGAGCTATTTAGATCATGTCATGCTGTTCAGAAACATGTTACCAGTAGAGGGCAACCAAAGCCTCAGTTTAAAAGATATTGGAGTCTGTGCTGCAGTGAAGGTTTGCGTAGAGCTGGCCTAGAGAGAAAACTCTGAACAAAGATGTTGTGCAAATGAAATATACACTAAATCAGGGGTGCCCAAACGATTTCCCTGAGAGGGCCAAATTTAAAATCGATTAGAGGATTCGAGCCAAATACAATAATATAATACATGAACTGCAAATACATCTTTAAGTAAAGTCCATTTATTATAGTTATCTAACCTCCCATTCTACATTACAGAACGCAAGATATAACAAATAAGTCATATATAAGAAATTGAAACAAATACTGAAATTTTGGCATTTCAGTATAATTATATGTAGTGCAAAATGTAAAAAAAATGCATGTCCAACAGCAACACAACAGCAACAATAATATGAACATAAATAAACAGACCCATATATATGGTAGTCAGTGGGCCGACTTTTCCATCTAACGTTAAAGTCAGTGGGTTGAATGACTGAGGGAAAACACATTGATTCTTGAAAGGAAATTTTATTATAGTAATGAGGACTGCTTGGCGGGCCAACTCAAACGGGTTGGCCCGCAGGCCCCAATTTGGGCACCTCTGCATTAAATGTACTGTGCTCTCCTGTGCAAATGTCACAAATTCCAACTTTCAAATGATTCCAAACAACACAGCGTACAGAATGATGCATTCTGGGTAAATTCCTTGTTTTTAAGCCTTTAGCCAGAGTAAAGCCTTCAACAATCTAAAGCAGTTCAGGTTGTGAGAATTGTATGGTGGCTGGGTCAGCCACTGTAGAATTGACTGTTTCTATTAGCTCAGAAGGTTAGAGCATGATACTAATAACACCAAGGGTGCAGGTTTGATCCCCCAACGGGTCAATAAAGTTTGTTGAATACCCCTATAGGGATTAATAATGTATTTCTGTTTTATTCTATTCACCAATTTTACTTTCATAATACACTTTAACCAAAGCAACAAAAAAAAAAACTTTATTATGATGTACTTGCCAAGTGACACTGCCATAATGACTGTTATTTTATCCTAAACTGATCTTATGTTTATGTCATTTCACTTGATTGCACTGAATTTTTATAAATAAATATTTGATAACAAATACATCTCTCTGTGTCTCCTAAAGAAGTGTGTTGGCTTTAATAAATATTAAGAGAAAAAAAAAATCTGGTTTGCAGAAAAACAGAATGATCTAAACTGAAAAAAAAAAAAAGTCCATTAGCATGAAACCCCCACAACAAGCAACAGTACAAAAGTTCTTCATGAAAGTGGATTATCAAAGCTAAAAGGTGAAATTGATGCTGAGGGTAATGACACCAGTCTGAGGCTGCAGAGCATTTGTTATGTAGTTATGTAGACGAGAGGAAAAAACACATTTTCTGAATTATATCACCCCCATCAGAGCAAAACCTGCATTCACCTAATCTGTGTGTATCTACCACTTAAAATATTCTCTATGAATAATTTATAGACCTAAAAAAAGATTTGAATCCACTTGCTTTTTAGAGTTTGAAAATGTTGCAGTAAAAAGCAATGAGATCCGGTTGTTTTTACACTTATATTGACTAAAAACAACAAAAGCAAATATTGGGGCTGTTTTTTGTGAAATATTTTTGAATTGATTTGCTTTTAGCATATACCACACCCAAAAATATTACTATTATTATTATTAGAGCCCTTAAAACTTTTTTTAAACGTTCAGATATTTTGAAGTGGGGTTCTGCGGAAAGTTTATGATCAGTTAATACTCCACCTGCTGTAGATAGGTAGATAGATAGATAGATAGATAGATAGATAGATGGATAGATAGATAGATAGATAGATAGATAGATAGATAGATAGATAGATAGATAGATAGATA